ATATGCAAACCACTTTGTAATTCTTACTTTAGAGCAGATATTAAGGCAGTATTTGAAAGGCTGCTGTGACTATGTCATGAAAATGAAGGGTCTGAGTTGCTGAAGAAAATGATGAGGAAAGCATAAGGAAAAAAGGTTTTTCTGCTTTAAAGCATCCCACTGAGCTCCTGTAGCACAAGGAGTGACATAGGAAACTGGTAGAAACCTAGCAGATGGCCAGGAACAGTATTGGGAACAATTCTGAGCAACTGAGAGCTGCTGCTTAGTACATCAGTCAACAGTAGACAGGCAAAGTGCTAGTCAGTTAACACCAGCCGCCTTACCTTGGTTTTATGATAGGTAGACCTACTACATTGGTTAACCTACCACATTTTTTATAAGTTAATGGCCTGTATGGCACCACTTGATGCATTTAATGTTTCTAGTGCAAAGGCAGGTAGAACACACTTCCTATTTTAAGCAGTTTGAGAAATTTAAATCAAGCCACTTCTGTGAAATCATAGAATGGTTTGGTTTCGAAGGTACTTGAAAGATCATCTGGTTCCAGCCCCCTGCCACAGGCAGGGGCACCTTCCGCTAGACGAGGTTGTTCAAAGCCCCATTCAACCTGGCCTTGAACACTGCCAGGGATGGGGCAGCCACAGGTTCTCTGGGCACCCTGTGCCAGTGTCTCAGCTCCCTCATAGTGAAGAACTTCTTCCTAATATCTAATATAAATAAATTTATTCTCATTTTAAATCCATTACCCCCTGTCCTATCGCTACACTCTCTGATAAGAGTTCCTCGCCATCTTTCTTGTAGGCACCCTTTAGATACTGGAGAGCTGTTACAAGGTCTCCCCAGCGCCTTCTCTTCTCCAGGCTGAATAAGCCCAGCTCTCAGCCTGTCTTCATAGGAGAGGTGGTCTAGCAAAGCTGTTCCTAGTTCAAAATGTAACACTTTTGGAAAAATACGTTTTTCCATATTCCTGCTAAAATAAATGCTTGTTTCTTTTAAAGCTGAGGGCACTAACTTGTCTACACTTGAGATAGGTGGTTAATCTAAAGTGACAGTTTTTGAAAATACAGAACTTTTAATAGTGCTGTACTCTGCTTAGAAATGGTTAGATAATTATACTTGTATTTTCCATTGCTGGTTTAATATTCAAACTTCCGTGTTTAGCTGTTGCTCTCTAAATCCATTTGTTTGGTGGTTCTTTCTGTAGAAATTGGGTGGATTGGAAAGCAGTGATGTGTTCTTGTTTTCCTGCTGGAGTGCATGTGTGGGCAAGTTCATTGTGGAAATTTCAGAGAGTAATCATTTCTAGATCAATGCTTTTTATTTCAGTCTGGACAACATTCATGTTACTGCTTTGAGAGAGCATACTATTTTATGCTAATGCTTAGGTTAGCAATGTCAGTAAGACTCAGCTACAGCTTTTCTTTTCCCCGTTCATTAAATCAAGGATCATAATCCGTATATGTGGACAACAGTGGGTGTTCAGATACTGCTTGGCTTCAAGTTGCTTCTATATTTGTGATTAGATGCCATGTCCTCATTGCACAGCATTGTTCCTGGAGGGCCAGCATTACTCAGGAACAGCAGACTCACAGTTCAAACCCAGTGGGGTGAGAGTTGCCAGAGGTTAGAGCTAAGACTCTAGAGGAGGGCAGGCAAGTAAATGTCTCTTGCCTAAATGGTTGTTAAAGGAGCTCTGTGAAAAATTACCCTTTCACTAAAAAAGGATTCAGGCCAGAAGATACGAGAAAAGATTGTTTTGGGCATTCAGTCTAGATCTTTTCTCCTTCGGGCTCCTAAGGAAAAATAACTCCATCATAGAACACGTTCTGCTCACCTGAGTGTGTTTTCCAATGCAAATTCTTCTGGAAGCCTGCTTTGTATTTGCATCTCTACTGTGAGGTTTAAGAACGCTACTAAAGCTATGCCTGAATGTATTTTTGGCCAGTTTGTCCCTGTTTTCATATGCTAGTGCACTTTTAGCTAGAATAGCTCTCATGTATATATTCATGTGTTTGATTTTACAGTCTTACATGCTATTGAGGTCAGATTAATAGGCCTGAGGTTGTACTTGTTGTTTCTTCTCAGTCTCCATGAATACTGCTGCTTTTGTGTGCTTGTGCTAGTGCCACCTATAGCTGACTACCCTTGTGCTGTGATGTGATGTTTCCTGTACGTTTTATTCTTCATTTTTCCTGTTCTAGGAACCTCAGCAAATGGGACTCCATAGCTAATGCTGTGTTTCCTGTGTGTTTATAGACACATAGCGAGTAACTTCTATTCATCAGTACTTTCAGTTTCCTTTCCAGACAAGAAGAAATTACTTAACCAGCAGTGCAGGGCTCCAGACCTGTGTGTGGCCCCTCACGTAGGCTTTTACAGCTTCAACACTGAGAAATGCCAGGCGTACTCTAGTTTGAAGATCCTGAGCTCTGCATGTATATAACTTTTATTTTCTAGCCCACGTCTAGAAGGTCAGTCGGCAGTCTGGCAACCTCTGGAAGAAAAGGCTCCAAAGCCTGCGAGAGATTCATGACACTGCTTTTGCTGTGAGATAAAAGCTGTCTTTGACCTAATTGAAAGGTAGCATGCTGACAAATTAGCCAAAGAAATGAGCTACATAAAATTGCAAGATGGAGTTTGCAGTTTTTGTTGTGTGTGAAAGGAATAGCCTGTGGAAGTAGCAACCTGACAAACATATGCTCCAGCAGCAGTTTGTTTGTCAGGTGTTCATATTTCATTCACAACAGATATTTCTAGGGGAAGCATGAATGGGAACCCTGATTTTAGTAACATGGTTGATTTTTTTGAGATTATTTGCTGTTGGTTTCTTGTTCTTGGTTTCTTGTTCTTTCTGGTGGTAATCAAGGTCAATTTGTGCTTTGAACGTGCAACTGAAAATCCATCTTCTAGCAAATTACATCTGTGGTGCTCAGCAGCAGATATTGCCTGTGGGAGGTGAATACTTTTTCTTCTCCTTTCCACTTTTTCCTTTCTGCTCCAGATGGATTATGAGAGGCTGACAGAAGACCCAACAACAGGTAGTGCTGTAACTGGCCGTAGTCGTGTGGTCTCTTTCCGTCCCCACAGCATCACAGTGGCACTGTTCAAGTTCCCAGTGCAACAGTATGGGCTCTGGCAGAGTAAGAGGTGTGCAGAAGCATGCAAGCGTTAAAGCTCGGAGTAGAAACAAAGAGTTTAAGTGTGAGGCAATTAATGGGACATAACACTCCATACCCTACTAAACCAGTATTGAAAAGCTTAGTAAAGATGACCTGAAAGCTTTGTCTGGATGTTTTCTCATCACCCACATGTTTATCTGTGTGACGAAGGATGGCTGACAGCTGCTCCCACTGTCTGCCTGGAGGGCTGTTGGTGGCATCCAGGCAAAGTCTGTGAGCCCTTCTGCTGGAGGTCGTTTCCTGGTCCCAGCTGTAATACCACCTGAAGATTTTGTTCTGCAAAACTTAGCAAAAACTTCTGCAAAAGTAATTGCTGGGCAGAACAGCAATACAGCTTCAGAACAGCCAATTCCATTCTTTACTGCAATTTCTTCAGCACTGAGTCTGTCTGTGCTTAGCCCATGGTTGGATTTCTTGATGTCATGGGTGTCAGGTAAAGATTGCATTTGTTGGGTTGCAGTTAACTGTAATAGTCACATCCTGCCAGTCCTCTCCCCTTTGCTATGGAGTTCTGTGTTGTGTGCGTCTCTATGGAAATGGGATTAGATGAGGCTGTGTGGCACCACTTTCTCTTGGAAGGGTATGCAACTTGCACTAAAGGCACTTGAAAAAATTTCTGGAAGTGCCTATTCAAAGTTTCTGGCACAGATGAATTCCTCTATGCAAACTGTGAGAGAAGGTTTGTTTCTGTGATAGTAAATTGGTTTTAACTGGTTGGAGAAAAGAAAGCAATGACAGTAAAATTGTAGAAAATTCAGGCTAGAAGGACCCTCAGGAGGTCATCTAGTCTAGCCTGCTGCTTAAAGCAGGATCACTTCAATTATGAATGTATGTAAAATTCCTTTTGCTTCACATCCTTTTCACCCTCTTTCTTCTTCTTGCTTAATTTCCATGCAAACACATATTTTGCAGTCCCAGCCCCAGATGAGCACGCTGAGGTGAAGAATGAATACATATAGTTGGTGGCTGAATTACTCACGCAGAGTTGCAAAAAAAAAAAGTAATCTTCAGCCAGCAGTCTCCTCTGCCTGCTCATAAGAGTCTGTCTATACGAACTGCAAAATGTTTTCATGGTCTAAAGAGTGTGTCAGGATTACGTATTTAAATTCTCTGGATTCCAAGAAGAGCTAGGCTAGAATGCAGCTGTTGAATACTCTTTGTCCTGTTAGTGATGTGAGTTTGTCTGAAAAAATCTGGTATATGATCCAGGGGACAGTATCAAATACAGTTTGGTAGATTGTCCATAAGCTTTTTTTTTTGATACAGAGGAAATGTCACCTTTGCCAGCCGTCGGCAGTCTTCTGTTTTAGCTCAAATGCAATTTGAAGGTTAATGCTCTGTTTCAAAGACTCCTGTTTTCATAATTACCATTCCTGTTGCTTTTTCTGTTGTCCTCTTTCTCTGTAGCACAATATTTGTAATTCTTAAAGTAATTAGCTAACTACCTGCATACTTTTAGCACATGATAGAAGTATAGTTAGTATAACTACTTATGTATATTTACCCAGAGTTTAAATTACTTAGCAGATTTAGGAAAGCAAAGTGTCTGAAGTGGCACAGAAGTCAGTGTAGCGTACTTGTTTGTATAATTGTGTGGAGCCATTAAAAGGTCTGTGATTCTTGGCTGCTGTGGCCATGTAACTTATTTAATGAACTAATCAATGTAAGCTGGCTGGTATGTATATAGAGATGTAATTAGCAGAATGCTTATAAAACACGTCTCTACTGAGATGAAATACCTACTTTTTTATAGCCTCTATTCAAGAGTGCTTAGTGTAGTGATTAAGGTCTACAAAACCAATTTGTGTCTTACAGCTTGCCTTGAAGGGATCTAACTATGCTGGTCTGCTGGAGCGGCATCGCATTCATACAAAAAATGTGGAGCATCTTGTAGACAGTTTACGGTAAGAATGAGGATTTCAGACCTGGTGCAGATATCCATGGATTGTGTAAAACAACAAAAGGAAGCCTTATGTTACAAGCCCTAATAAAATAGGAATACTAGAAACAGGATGATGCAGATGAATAAATTAATGAAAGAATCATAATGGGAACTAGCTCAGTTCAGTTAACTAACACACTGCATTTTATCCTGAAAACAAATCAAAAAGATGTAAAGGATTTCTGTGAATGTCAAATGCTTGTAAGCCACTGCGCCTAATTACATGTCAGTTTTTCAGAAGAGTGTGACAGGGAGCAATAGAGGACTCATTCAGGCTTTTTCTGCACTTCATAGGAACGAGAGGATAGAAGTTCGCCTTGTTAAACGTCGAGAATATAATGAAGAGACAGTTCGGTGGGCAGATGCTGTTATATCAGCAGGAGGTATGGCTTTATGGAAGGAAAGTGTTCGTTTCAGTATACACAACATATGTAATCTCTTTTCACAAATACATTTTCCAAAAATATTTTGCAGTGTGTGAAGCATCTGGAGATACGCACATTTTGAAATCTCACTGCTTTTGTAATTGTCAGAAAATGTGACAAAATGCAATGGTTGTGACCATCCTCTCTAACTCTAGTGTGGAAAATTGTAGCAGTAGGAAGTGAGTCCCAGAGCATGGCCACTTTGGAAATGTTTGTCTTGAGTAAAACAATATAAACTGTGGGATTTACTATAGTTTTCAACCAAAGAGGTTAAAATACTTGCTGTTATCTGATTATAACCCTACTCTTCGGTATGTGAAGTGGAGACTAACATATTGCCTTTTCCTTTTCTTGGCTCAAACTGTCTTTCTTGCTTTCACATTTAATTCCAGTGACTGGAGTATCTAGTTGGGTGGTAGAGGAAGAAGTATGCAACTAGTGAGCAGCCTGATCAGAGCTTTTTAAACAAACCAAAAAATCAGCTAACCTGTTTATTTTTAATGTTGTTTTGCAGTAGTTCAACATTATTTTTGTGATTTGCTGCAAAAAATGCCCAGTGTGTTGCTGGGCTCTGACATAATGTTCAGTCTTCTGTGGCGATTAGACTTGATCACTGTGCTGCCTTTTTTTCCTCCCCACTGGGTCCACTTTGCCCTTACCTACTGGTTACCACGCAGAACAGGTAGAAAGGGGTATGTGTACATTCCTGGAGCATCCTTATGTACTCTTGTAGCTTTCAAAGAACTCTAAGATGGAGATTAACGTGCCAATGTCTCTGTGGCAACGTTTGTCATGGTTATGAAACAAGCAGTCTTAAGAGCTTACATCTTGGTTCAAAAACTGATTCAGGTTAGTCGTCCTTCTGTTTACAGACAGGAAAGAATACCAGTATCTGCAGAAACAAGTAACACTTAAAGATTTCTACTTTACAGTTTTATCCAAGACTTCTTTTCCAAGGGTGCCTGTTTGGGGTCAAATAAGACCTTCAAATTGTGCCTTCTAGAAGAACAACTAAGATAGAATTAAGTCCTTGGTTTTATATGATTCACAGGAAAATTTGGTGGTGTTTCCTGTGTTCAATGTCTTTGATTAGCAATACTTTCTAAATTTATTTTCTTAAATCTCTTACCAGCTGATAAACATACAGAAATTTCCATAGATCTCTTTTCAAACTTGCTTCTGCCAAATTCAGCTCCCTGGGCATATATAGCTGTCTGATAAGTTGCACTTTTTCCAATCATATTTGCCATCTTGAATTCAGTTGTCACTAGTCTGCTTTGAAAAGTACCAGTAGTTTTGTGTTCTGTTTTATTTTTGTGCAGCTTACCTGATCAGTTATGGAGATAAAGGCACACAGTGGTAATGCTGCAGTACACCCAAGACTGTTTTGTTTGTGGTAGTGAAACTAACTTTTGTTTTGCTTTATCTGTAGGTGATGGTACAATGTTGTTGGCTGCTAGTAAGGTCTTTGATAAATCCAAACCAGTTATTGGAGTAAATACTGATCCTGAAAGGTAAAAGCACATTTGGGAAAACAATGCTTTCTTTAATGTCAGGCACAACATGCATCTGTTTTATGTTTGAGGCAACGTATGGCAGAACAGAAACAGGAAAAGGAATGTAACAAAAGCAACCAAGTGTGGTTCCTGAACACACAGAAACTTGGCTTCTTTATGAAGAAGGTGGATCCTATCAGAAATCCAATAGGTGCTCAGATGAAAATGTTTGTTTTGGTTTCTTCTTGTAAACAATGTCATACCTCAGACAATGCAGTCTCTTCAGCCAGTTAATGGCATTTAGTTGTCCTATTATAAACTCCACACAAGTTGCATCCACCTAGCTGTAAGATTGATTTGGGCAGGTGGATGCAGTGTATTAGTACTGCCTGGTTGGTATGATCTTCAAATGGATGGCAAGTAAAATTTGGAATTCACCAAATTTCTGTCTGCGAGATTTTCAGATTTAGGTTTCTGCTTTTGATGTTGCCAGTTATTTTAACTTTAGTAGATAAAAAAGTGGTAGACAAAAGTTTTGATTCCTTCCATACTCTTTTCCTCTTACAAAACTTTTCAAATGCAGTGGATACATATCTTACAGTGTCAAGCCTGAATAGCAGGGTTCAAATAACAAGCGCCTGCAAGTTATCAAGTGTCGCTCATGAAAGGGGAGTAGTATTTTGTCTTCTGGCTTTGATGTGAGATTTTTTTGATCTTAGGAATGTTGCTTATCTGTCTTGTGTCACTAACTTGTGTGTAAATGGAGGAAAGTTTCTTTCTAACTTGCAAGGTTTATTAAGCTTGAATTCCTTGCCAGAACTATGATGACAGGAGCTGTATTAGCAGCTACCTATTTCTGCAGGATTACTAGTTGAACAGCCATTTTTCATAGGAAGTGTGGGAGAAATACACTGTCACACACATAGGCCCTGGGAGCTGAAAGAGGTGTATTGTTGCTGATGTGCTATTATGTAAGAATAGTATAGGTTCATAAAGGTCAACATGTAACTTTGCTTTATGTTACAGAAAGACATGTTTGGTTTGGTTTGTTTTTTAAAGGTACCAAACCTTAATAGATACCCTATCATTTTCACTGTCCTTTTCTGCTACCAGATCGGAGGGTCACCTATGCTTGCCTGTGAGATACACACACTCATTTCCTGAAGCACTACAGAAGCTTTATCGTGGTGAGTTCAGGTAGGATTCACTGATCTTTGGTTTTCCAAAACACATTACAATTGGAATATACTTAATCATTGTGAATTCCTAAGGAGCAGATGATGTTTAGTAAAATCTTTGTCTCATATTGTAAATTCTGTATAGATGTTTACCATGCTGAAAATAGGGTCTGTGATTGAGTGAGATTGGAATACAAAGGATAAAATTGCCTGGCAGTTACAGCAAAAAGACTTTTATCATGACCTTCAGTAATTGATTTTCTTTTCTGACTTAGCAAATTCATAAATGAGGAACTGCATTCTTGTAAATGGCGTATTGGTTTACATATTTTAAGACTTGAAAACATATGTAATATAGTGGTGGGAAATGCTAATAGAAGCTAATGAAACCTGTATATTTAGGAAATGGTCAGTGTTGCATTTGGGGTTTTGGTGATTAAGGTAGAGCGGCAATTTTGTTGACAGATTAAGTGTAGGGCAAAGCTTTTTTTATGATGAAGATAGTTTGATGTTTTCAGTACAAGATATTCTTAGAAGAATCTCACTTGAATGAAGAAGCAACCTGAATTTTAGAGGACAGACTAAGGAAAGGACAGACTAAGGAAGAGGGTTTTTTTATTAACTGTCTAAAGAGGCATTGTTCTGTGGTATATTAACATTCCGGGATACTTTTATGATTGCAAACCATCGAACAGAAATAAGTCATTCATGTGGAATGCATTGTATTGCAGTTGGGTTTCGTTTATACTTTTAGCACATTTAATTTGGATCTCGAAGTTTAACTGTATTTGTGCCATAGAAAAGTTCTGAAATGAGGTGAATACAGTTATCAGGATTGATTTTAAATAATTGAAGGAGTTTCAGTATGTATTATTAAATGAAAAAGTACTTATAAGTAGCATATTCAGAGACTTAGAAAACAAAGGCTTTTAACACTCTTATCATGCTAAATTGCTTAGCTTAGGTAAGTTGCTTGCTTAGGTAAAGCTGGTCCTGGTAATGCAGGTAACCTCCCTTGATAATGTAGACACTTCCAATGTTTTGTTGGATGTTATTGTATATTTTTGTTGCTGACGCTCATGTTGTTGCTCGTAATGGAGCTGAAGCCTCACCACAGTAAACCATAAAGGATCTCTCTGGTTATTGTTCCAGAACAGGAACTGATATTTGTAAGCAGGGACCTGACTGTGTTTCACTTGGCAGTTTTCAGACTTATTTGGCCCTCAGGAAACTAAAATAGGTGGGTAACTGGATTAGCCTGTCTGGAAGAGCTTCTGGTGGCTCAGAGGGCAGTGAGATGACAGAGACTGCTGGAAAAGGGAATTTTGTCTTTTCATCTTACCCTTGAGGTGTCAGTGCAGCAATGTGTGTAAGCACTTATCTTGTAGTCCCATCAAAAAACCAACATTATTGAGTTACAGATTTATAAAGGAAAAGCTATGTTCTTTTTTGATGGTCAGTGGTGTAACCGGATGTCAGAGTACGGGTGTTAGAGGAGTATAGTCCCATTTTCTAATTTTATAGGGGTTTTGTCATGTTCTACTTAGGAGTATTATAAGGAGGCGAGCGTAATGATACTTATCACATGCTGTCTGCCTGAATTTCTAAAACCATACTTTGAATCTAAGGGCAGGTGGGTAGTTACACTAAAGATGTGTTGAATGAAGCACTACCAGTATGGCAGTGAGGAAAAACTAGTAATGTCATATAAAGCACAAGTCTTCCTTGCTGTAATTTCAGGAACGTGTATACTGTTACCCAGCTGTCAACATGTGAACGGGGAAAAAGATATGCTCATAATGTTGCCTTGTGATTTGCTTTCTTAATCAAAACTAGTGTTCTATTTTGTTTTATGTAATCTCTAAGTAGTCAGAGGAAAAAAGAAATTTATACCTCCTCTAGGAAGAAATAGAAAATCTGAATGTTGTAACAGCTTAAGGAAGACTGTATTTTATATCGTTCTTTTTCTTAATTTGAGTTCCTCTAAAGTTCCAAGGCTAGGAGAGATTCTTAAAATATGACGATGCTTGTGGCCCTTATGTATGAAGGGCTGGATAGAGCTGCTTTTCTGGATATCTACTAAAACAAACAGAAGATGGTAAAAATATGCCATTTATTGCTACATAAATTCCTGAGAGTTTGTTGTTCTCAAAATCACTGCATCAGTCATGAACTTAAGTTAGGGTCACATGTCTAAAAATATAAGTTCTTATGTATATTTGTAGATTACTTTTGGCCACTGTCCTCTTATTTTACACATACAAAAAACATTAGCTAGAAAATTGGTAAGTGTAGCATACTTATGTTTTAGTATGATTAACTTCCTAAATTTAGAAATTATAGTGGAAGCTACAGACCTTGAAATACAGCTTTGAGTATATTTAACTTTTAACTTCAAGGTGCTCTGCTCTGAAGACTCTGATCCTAGTGTTGTAACGAATATTTCATCTACTGACACCAACTTCTTTCTCCTCTCTAAGGTGGCAATGGCGGCAAAGAATCCGACTGTATCTTGAAGGAACTGGCATTAACCCAATCCCTGTAGATTTACATGAACAGCAGCTAAGCCAAGAGCAACACAGCAGGGCTCACATAAATGAAAGATTCCAGGATCAAAGTAGGTTAAAATCTGACAAGGATATAATCATTTTGCCATAACTTGGAGTGGGGGATAAAGATTTGTAAGAGTTGAAATATTTGAAGTCTCATTGCTCTATTTGAGAGGCAGAGAGAGAGCTCTCATTAGCTGAAGATCCAGATTAAGGGTTTTTAGAAGGGATTAGTTTTTGTTTCTATAGTTTTATTCTGGACTAAACTCTTAGAACCAGTTTTCAGTCTTAACAGTTAATTTAGAGATGTTTTTATGTAATATTTTCTGCTGGCAGAATACCTGATGTTTTTTTTTTAAATGCTGTTTCTTGGGGTTACTATAGATACCACACAAACATTTTACCATGGATTTAGCTGCTCCACACTGAAAGTGTGTTAGTGTACCTGCACGCATGCTCTTAAGTCATGCTACATTTGAGGTAGGTTACCTTGCAATTGAAAAAGCTGGTCACAGGCTGTCAGAAAGTAAATGAGAAAATAAAAGTCGTAATTAGAAGTGAGAATCTCTCCCTGGGTAAGCCTTCAGTCATCAGACACCTTTGACCATTTTCCTTGTCATGGATTGAAGATGTGTGATTCTATCCTTAACCTGTGTCTAGTGCTGCATTTTCTCACTGATAGGTCCTTTGTCAACATGAACAATTTGTTAATCCCCCTTAATTATAAAGTCCAATTCCTTGAACTTTATCAGAAATGCCTATTAAATCACTGTCAGTGAATTTAACAAGGCTGAGTCACTGGCAGAAGACTTCAATCTGTCTGGTTACCCTGAGTTTTCAAGGGAAGTAGTGTCTGAAAATAGGTGTCATTGCCTTACTGACCTTGGTTTGAATATGTGTGGTCTTCAGTAAAGGACAAGGACTGGCTGCAGCCTAAATCAGTGAAAAATTGTGTCCTTGGAGAAGATGGAACACTATCTCTAGAGTATAAACACAGACAGCAGAATGTGTCCTCCAGTGAGTTGTGAATTGGTTTTGATTATTTGGGCTTTAGAGCCATGATTCAAAACTGTTGTATTTTGTATATGCAGGTTCTGACATTTCTGGTCCACATCTTTTACCAGTGAGAGCCCTCAATGAAGTCTTCATTGGGGAATCTCTTTCATCCAGGTATGTTTAATTATTTGTTGTCACAGCAAGGCACAGTTGACTTAGTAATTTTTTTTTTTTTTATGACTTCAGTGATGTCTTTGCTGCCAAATTTCAGTTCTAGTCTGTAAATGTATTCTTGCTAATTACAAAGTGTATTTTCAGAGATATAAGTGCAGTAATGTTAATTTCTTGTTTTCTACCTTGCTGTCTGGTCATTCTTTCATCTGTCCTTATTCCTGGCTATTTTCTTCATTGGTTTACTCCTTTCCTGCTTAGTTCTTATGAAATCAAATGCTTTCACTTGCTATCCTTACAGTGGATTGGAGATTTAAATGTGTGTCCTTAAACTGCCTTGTGCATCTCTTGTTAAGTATCATTTCATGAGCTTTTAGCATGACCAAGCAGAAATAGTTTTTAGTATGACCAGATACTCCTTTCCCCACCTCTCTGTCATTAGAGCAAAGGTGTCAGCCTGCCTTTGTGAGCAGCTTTGTTATTTTAGGAAAACACTTATTTCCTTGTTTTAAGAAATTAGTTTGTATCAAATCCTGGTGCTGGATTATCCAGGATATGTTTGACTGTCCTTTCTGTCTTGAAGATCAGTGCATTTCTGTCAGTAACAAGAAAAATGTGGGCAATGTGATTGGGGGTGTAAGAAACGAGTTAAAACATGATCCTTGGTCAGGATTTGGCAAACTTACTTGTATCTTCTATCTCTTTCCCCTTTATTCTGTATCTTTAAAAAACAAAACAACTTAAGTTGTTTGTGCAGTGCCTGGGACACTCTGATTGCTGTTGGAAACAATATAAATGTTCCATGAGTGCTTTATCGTCTATTTGGACTGCAGCCTCAGACGGGCAGAAGGAATTAGTCTCAGAGATAGAAACTTTGCTCTCTACTAAATCAAACCTAATTTTATCAAGATTTTTAAGAGTATCTTTAACACACAGTGAGAGAGGAGCACAAAGCTGCTTTCCAGCACTTTGTAATAGCCACCTTCTGAGTGTCACAAATACAATGTGTTCTTTGGTTCCAGTATATTTAAGGGGCTTTGGGAACACAATGCCTGTAGGAACAAACACCTAGTAAGAGGACCTTGCACTTGAAGACTAAATAATGATGTCAGATAACTTTTCTGTAAGGCATGAGTCTGCTATACATGAAGACAAAATAACTGTAGGTGCTTCTTCCAAGGTCTTCTTCTGCATGTTAGTTGAGAAAACAAGGAAATTGAGGGGAAAAGAAACCCAAACTTAAGTTTCATACCCAGCTTGCAAAAATTATCTTAAACTGAATCAAGCTGTGCACCTGCATTCTTCATTTGCTTCCAGTTCTTTCATCTTCCCATGTTCTCAAGAGCAAGCACACAATATCCCCTTGGTGACTAAGAATCTAAACTATGACACCAAGTATTCAAGAGGTGTATTTCCTAGTCGATCCAGTCTTAAATATTCATCACTTAAAACAGCTCAGTAACCCTCTTCTACTAAGAAGGGTGAAACTCAGACATGCTGAACACAGTGAATGTAGTGTTCTTCTAAGATGGTATCTTAATCTGAAGACTACATCATACTGTTTCAATTAGGCACTTATGAACATCAACAGCTTTAGTTCATAAATACACTACTGGATGTTCTGAAGCTTCCAGAAAGACTGGTCTCTCTAGGCCTAGCATTAGAAATCTCATGATAATATAAGTAATACCATGCAGAATTATGATTGTGCCCCAAGACTTACTACATCTAAGTTTTATGAAGAATTTGCCCTGGAGAGAAATGTGAGCCTTCTGACTTGTAAAACTAAAGCTGTTTGTGAAGAATCACAGTGGATTTTTAATTACTGACGTGATCAAGAATTCAGCTTGAAGCCATGCTATTACTTGCTGATGATGGAGTACCTTATTTCTTAGTGTTCCCTGATACAATTTCATGAGACCCAATCGCAGCATAAACACAGTTTTTCAGTTGTTAACAATTATGCAAGGAAGGTAATGTATTTGTAGTTTCATTTGTAAGTCCAGCAAACCCTGCTTGTATATGAAGCTATTCCCAGATGAACCACAGAGGTTTTTGTGTATAATTTAATAGGAAAAGTGGCTGTAGAAAAACTGCCACTGTTCATGCTGAAAATCACTTTTGTCCATGATAAGGTATGCTATAAACCAGTGAATCACAAGTGTCTGCCAAATGGGAGACACTGCAAAAACTGTGAAATTGTCATCCAGATTTGAAACTAGCTCCTCTAAATTTTTATGTGCCTGATAAGGCTGTGTGTTCTGTCTTATTCAGGGAGAACTTTAAATCCTGCAAACCCAGTTTTAAATTCTCGCTTCATAGGGCCTCCTATTATGAGATATCAGTTGATGATGGTCCTTGGGAAAAACAGAAGAGTTCGGGGCTTAATGTGTGTACTGGAACAGGATCAAAAGCATGGTAAGTACATGTTTCTGCTTTGATATAAAATATCACTTCAGACAAGCTAGGTGAACATGTTTTGTTTAAACATTTTGTCCATCCTGAAACTCTCCTGAGCTATGACTCAGTCAGTGCTTATATTCAGTATCCAAATATTCTCACTGCTGGTGTGGTCCAAAGCTGTTTCAGGGGTATAAGAAGAGTAGAGCACCCCTCACGTGTTTGTATGGAAAGAGCTGAAAAGGTGAGGAGCTGAGACATTGAGATAGAAGTTTACCTTAGGTGTAATTTTGGTGGAAGATATTGCATGCCTCTGAGATG